TGGCCAACATCCCTCCAAACCCTTCCTATTCATGTACTCATCCAGACACCTTTTAAATGTTGCGATTTTACCAGCATCCACCACTTCTTCTGGCAGCTCATTCATATACGCAACCACCCTCAGCATGAAAAAGTTGTACCTTAGTCCCTCTTGAATATTTCCACTCTCACATTGAACATATGCCTTCCAGTTTTGGATTTCCCTACCCTGACAAATAAACATTGGGTATTCACACAATCCATGCCCCTTATGATTTTATAACATTCTATAAAGGACCCCCCTCACCTTCCGACACACCAGGGAAAATAATCTCAGCCTATTCAATTGTCCCTATAGCTCAAACCCTGAAATCCTGCTAGCATTCTTGTAATTTTTTTCTGAACCTCATTAGGTTTCACAACACCTTTCCTATAGCAGGGAGACCAGAACTGAACAGTATTACAAAAGTGGTCTTACCAATGTCTTGTACAGCAGCAACACAACATCCAACTACTATACTTAATTGACTGACTAGCAAGGGCAAGCGTATCACACACCTTCTTCACTACTGCAAACGACAAATGCTGGAGATCACTGCAGACCAGGCAGCATCCATGGAAAGAGATCATGCTAATGTTTCAGATGTGGATGACTCTTCATCAGAGTTGAAGTAAAGTGTGAAGGGGACAGCATTTGTGTTATAGTTTGGAGGGGTGGTATGGAGTTAGTGGGTGTAGGGTGCTGGTGGAGAAAAGATGTTGATAGCTCAGAATAAGTGATTGAAATGAGAAAATGGCAGAACAATGGTATGACTCCTGCCAGATCTGAAAGGACAGTAAGTCTGATGGGAGGATGGGGGGGACATGATAATAAGCTAAAAGAAACTGAAGAAATGGTTCACAGTTTAGAGGTGTTGAACTCAATATTAAGTGCAGAAGGCTGTAAAGTGCCTAGTCTGAAGATGAGACGTTGTTACTCCAGTTTGCACTGTGATTAACTGGAACATTGCAGCGTGCTGAGGACAGGCATGCGGGCATGAGAGCAGGACGCTGAGTTAAAATAACTGGCTACAGGAAGGTCAGGGTTCTGCTTGTGCACAGACTGGAGGTGTTCCGCAAAGCAGTCACCCAGCCTGTGTTTGTTTTCTGCAATGTAGATTAGGCTACATTGGGTGCAGCAAATGCAATACACACAGTTGGAGGAGGTACAGGTGAAATGCTGCTTCACCTGGAACAACTGTTAAGGCCCTTGGATGGTGAGCAGGGAAGAGATGAAGGGCAGGTGTTGCATCTTCTGTGATTACATGTGAAGGTGCCGTGGGAAGGGGTTGTGATGTTGGTGGTTGTGGAAAGAACTTGGGTGTCCTGAAGGAATGATCCTTTCGAAATGCAGACAGTGGGGAGTGAAGGCAAGATGTATTTGGTGCCAGAGTTGTCTGAAATGGCATGGAATGATCTTTTGAATGCTTTTGTGAGTGATGGGAAGGGGGCAAGGGTGGAAGCACAGGGGATGGGTCGAATGTGATTGAAAGCCCTGTCAATCACAGTGGGTGGGAAACCACATTCATGGAAGTAACAAGCCATGTCAGCAGCACTGTTTTGGAAGGTGGCATCATCTGAACAGATGCGACATAGGCAAAGGAACTGGGAGAATGAGATGGAGTCCTTGCAGGACTTGAGGCGTGATGAGCTGTAGTGAAAGTAGCTGTGGGAGTCAATGACTTTATAATAGATGGCAGTTTATTCTCTGAAATGAAAACAGAGGGGTCAAGGAAAGGAAGGGAAGTTTCAGAAATGGACGATGTGAAAGTTATAGAGGGGTGGAAACTGGAGGCAAAATGAATGAAGTTTTCAAGGTCCTGGCAGGAGCATGAAGTGGCACTGAAGCAGTTGTCGAAATACCAGGAAAAGAGATGTGGAAGGGAGCAGTGTAAGACTGGAACAAGGATCCATCCCTCTATAATTTTCACATCATCCATTTCCGACACTTCCCTTCCTTTCCTTGAACTCTGTGATAAAAGAGCTTAATTTAGAAGAATGCAATATTCCAGAGGAAGGAATTAATCAGCAGGTGCCTGTGCTTTACAAATACCTAGTACTGAGTTAATTATTCTCTATTTTAATGGATTATGCTGTTGCTTTTTGTTGAAACAAAATCTCTTCTAGTAAACCAGACAAAGGGAGATTAACACAAGTTGAACCATTAATATGAAAATTAAGACATAAATCGTAAAAGAGAGTGGAATAAAAAATTGATTCTTGACAAAAAAAAACATCGTTAACAATATCTATTATCAACATATATAGGTTACTGAAAGCAGTTGACAATGAAATTTTCATAAACAAAACTTCAAACTGTACAAGTTTGCATCTATGGAGATATAAACTGATATAAATTGAGCTTATTTTGTTAATTTAATATATTTACCAGCTGAACCTCAGACAAAACAGAAAAATTCGTTTATGGTCTTTATTGACAATATCAGGACAATATCCTCAGATTCTAGAACAATCCATATGCCTTAAAATTCATTCAGGCTTAGGCTGATAAATGGCAAATAACAGTCATGCCACACAAATGTCAAGCACTAAGGGAGAATCTAACCATTTTCCTTGACATTCAAAAAAGCATTATCATTGCTAAATTCCTCACTGTCAACATTTTGGGGTCACTATTGACCAGAAACTGAACTGGACTAGCCATTTAAATAGTGTGGTTATGACACCAGGCAAGAGGCTTGGATTCTGCAGTGAGTAACTCCCCAAAGTCTGTCCACCAAACCACAAGTCAGTGGTGTGATGGAATACTCCCCACTTGTGAGGATGATGTATTTTGAACAACACTCAACAGGCTTGACACCATCCAGGACAAAACAGCCCATTTGATCGGCATTGCAGCTACCAATATTCAGTCCCTCCATTACCAATTTTTGGTTGCAGCAATAAGATGCACTGCAGAAATTCACCTAAGATCCTCAGTATTTCCAAACTCATGGCTGCTTTCATCTAGCAGGACAAGGTCAGAAGATACATGGGAACACCACCACCTACAAGTTCCCCTCCAAGATACTCACCATCCTGACTTGGAAATATTTCACTGTTCCTTCACTGTTACTGGGTCAAAATCCTGGAACTCCCCCATTAAGGGCATTGTGGGCCAACCTACAGCATATGGACTGCAGTGGTTCAAGAAGACAGCTCTCCATCACCTTCTCAAGGGGGCAACTAAGTACAGGCAATAAATGCTGGCATCATTAGTGACACCCACATCCCATGAAAGAAGAAAAAGTATCAAACATTTGATATCATTGAAAGGCTTGCATACTTAGTAACAAATGATACCTGGAAAATTAGTCCTGCAAGTAAAAAATCTAGTACCTAGCCAATTATGAGGTATTAGTTCCGAGTGATTCGTACATCGGTTTTCATCATTTAATTTCAGGGCAGGACCTATACATTTAATGGTAAGGTCCTGGGGAGTGCTGCTGAACAAAGAGACCTTGAAGGTCAGGTTCATTGTTCCTTGAAGGTAGAGTTGCAGACAGACAAGCCAGTGAAGAAGGCGTTTGGTATTCTTGTCTTTATTAGTCAGTACATTGAGTATAAGGAGTTGGGAGGTCATGTTGCAGCTGTACAGGACATTGGTTTGGCCACTTTTAGAATATTACATTCAATTTGGTCTCCCTGCTACAAGAAGGATGATGTAAAACTTGAAAGGGTTCAGAAAAGATTTACAACGATGTCGCCAGAGTTGGAGTCTTTGAGCTTTGGGAGAGGCTGAAAAGGCTGGGGTGGTTTTCCCTGGAGTGTCAGAGGAGGGTGATGGGTGACCTTTTAGAAGTTTGTAACATCATGATGGGCATGGATAAGGAGAACAACCAAGGTTTTTTTTTCCCAGGGTAGAGAACTCCAAAACTAGAGGGCATAGGTTTAAGATGAGAAGGGAAAGGTTTAAAAGGAAACACAGGTGCAACATTTTCACACAGAGGGTGATGTGTGTATGGAATGAACTGCCAGAGGAAGTGGTGGAGACTAGTACAATTACAACATTTAAAAGACATCTGGATGGGTATATGAATAGGAAGAGTTCAGAGGCATATGGCCCAAGTGCTGGCAAATGGAACTCGATTAATTTAGGATATTTAGTCAACATGGACCATTTGAACTGAAGGGTCTGTTTCCAAATTGTACAGCTCTATGACTCTAACGGCTCTATAAATCACCAATTTCCATAAAATATTAGATGTAAGCAGCAACATAAATAAAATGCTTTTCTCCAACCACCACGGGGGCAATCATTCAGGTTTTTTTACTCTTTCATGGGATTGTGGGCATCACTGGCTGGGCCAGCATTTATTACCCAGAGGGCATTTAAGAGTTAATCACATTTCTGTGGATCTGGAGTCACATGTAGTCCAGACCAGCTAATGATAGCAGATTCCTTCCCTGAAGGACATGAGTGAAACAGAGGCGTTTTTCCAACAATTGACAATAGTCATCATTAAACACAATTCCAGATTTTTATTGATTTCAAATTGTACCATCTGCTGTTGTGTGATTTGAATCCAGATCCCCAGAACATTTCATAGGCCATTACTTCCCTTTAGGTCAAATAGATTATTCAGATTATGATGCAATGAGAATAGATGAAGGGATACTTAAAACTTTAACACTGTCCAAGAATAATTAAAGTGTCAAGAGCAATTAGATGTAGAATGTAGCTAAAGCTTAGATTTAGAAGTTGGAATGATGGGAAAATAGGTCAAGTAAGAGATATGCGAAAAATTGTTGCATATCTGTAGAAAGCTTATAACCTGCTGTTCAATGTTGACCCAAAGCTTAAGACACGTTCTGCTTAAAGATAACGTTTCAGCAACCACGAGTTGTGGAACCATGACATATGACTTGTCTTATGACCTGCCTTAAGGGGATGTGATAAACTGTGTACATGCTTATCTACTTGTAACAACTGTGTCAATCTATAACGGCGCGTATAAGTATTGCCTTGTTTTTGTACTCATCGGAGACTACAGACCTGACCTTTTGTCAGCTTTGGCTCCCAGCGATATCACGTAATAAAGCCTCTTTACCTCGAAGTCTAAAGCTCCAGTGTGTGACTGAATTAATATCTTCAACAATCTGGTGTAGTTGACAGAATCCCTATCTTTACGGGTTCCGGACAAATTGATAGGAATAAGCGAAAGGAGTTTGCGAGGCATTCGAGTTTCCCCGGCTGGTAACCCACGTTGAGCCACTCTGACCCGATCTCGGGGAGATTGGAAAGACGGGACGGGCAAGACCACGTGTGGAAGACAAACTCGTTGAGAAATAAGTGGACAATTAGGACAATTGGAACAAAAGAACAAAACAGTCTGGGAGGCTTCGAGGACTGAGGTATAACGAGATCTCGGAGGTGGGGAAGGGTGAATTAGTTTAAGATTAGCGTATAAGAAACTATAGCGTTAAGATACGTAATAATAAATTGTTAACGCTCATTTAAATTTAGAGTTTGATGCCTTAGTAAGTGGGACTTGTTAAGTAATGGGGAGCCAAACAAGCAAGGTAGGTAAGAGACCCGAGGCAAAAAAAGAGTTTCCTGTGAAACTGAAAGGCAACTTCAAGGAGGATTCAGGAAATCCAGAAACAGCACAAGTTGCTTGGGGACCCGCTGGTTCCTCCCGGATTACCTGCCGATAAGGTTTGGCTGGAAACAGGAGACAGCAGGTACTCTTACGTTCTCTAGTGATTTGTACAAGTGGTTGATTTGAAAAAGATAGTTTTGGAAAAGTGTGACAGAGGCTGGGGACGGAGACCCAAACTGGGATTATAACTACATGATTACTTGTTTTGATAAATGGTTGGAAGTGGCCAGGCGCCATCAACCCCCAAAACCTAAAAAAAATAAGGCTACTGGTGATGGAAAGAATATTAAGCCTAGCGCTCCTGCCGTGGGAATGTATCCAAAGTTAAAACAGTCTGACGAAAGCAAGGAACAGGTTATGGATGAGTGCCCTCTTGGCAGCTGCTCTTAAGGACCGTCCTCTCTCCTATAAGAAGGACCCACCGTCTCGCCCACCTCAGGTCACCTCTTTGGACACAGTCGGGGTCCAGACCAGAAGGCGTCGGGCAGCCGAACATGAGGTTGCCCCCGACGGTGTTCCTAAGGAATCCGTTAGTAGTACAGTTGAACAATGCCCCCGCATAATGGTAGGGAAAGTTGCTGTATTGCGCCCCTGGGCCCCATCGGAGATCCGAAGTATGGTAAATGAAGCCCCGAAAAAAAACTTGTCGCTTTTCATAATTGGCTGGTACAGACGTGTCAAATCTATAAATTTTGCCCGGTGATGTGCTGTTACTATTGAAGGTTGCGTACGGCACTTCCTGGCCAATTGTTGAAGATTTCGTTTGCTGTCCCACAGGGGCTCGAGGGTGACTGGGCCCCTGACGATGACCTTCAGAATCAGGGAAACGAGAGTAGAGACACTTGGTTCCGGACTCGCGCTAAAGGTGCCATCATGAATGGAGCTAGGCAATATAGTGATTTTGGTGAGGTGACTTGCTGCATTCAGAAAAAAGGAGAGCAGCTGACAGATTTCATTGATAGTAGGAACTGCAGATGCTGGAGAATCTGAGATAACGTGTAGAGCTGGATGAACACAGCAGGCCGAGCAGGAAGGCTGACGCTTTGGGCCTAGACTCTTCTTCAGAAATGGGGGAGGGGAAGGGGGTTCTGAAATAAATAGGGGGAGGCGGGTAGAGGAGAAGATAGGTGGAGAGGAGGCAAAGAAGTGGGGATGCAGCCAATAAAGGTACCCGCATGGGCCCAAGCTATGCCTGCCTCTTTGTAGGCTACGTGGAACAATCCCTCTTCCGTAGCTACGCTGGCCCTAAACCCCACTTCTTCCTCCGTTAGATCGATGACTGTAGCGGCACCGCCTGGTGCTCCCACCAGGAGCTCGAACAGTTCATCCACTTCAACACCTTCCACCCCAACCTTAAGTTCACCTGGACCATCTGATACCTCTCTCTCCTTCCTGGACCTCTGTTTCCATCTCTGGAAACCCATATCCATTTCAAGCCCACTGACTCCCACAGCTACCCAGAAGACAGCTCCTCCCACCCACCTTCCTGCAAAAATACCATCCCCAATTCCTTTGCCTCTGCCGCATCTGCTCCCAGGATGAGGCATTCCACTCCTGGACATCTTAGATGTCCTTGCCCTTGTTTTTGGAGGACTGCAACTTCTTCCCTGCTCTTCCCCCCCCCCCCCCCCCAATCAGTGGTCAAAAACGCCCTCAGTGTCTCCTGCATTTCCCGCAACTCATCCCTCACACCCCCTCCCCTCAATAACAACGAAAACTGAATCCCCCTGTCCTCACGTACCACCCCACCAACCTCCAGATCCAATGCATCATCCTCGGACACTTCCGCCATCTGCAATCCAACCCCACCACCAAAGACACTTTTCCCTCCCCACCTCTATCTGCTTTCCGGAGGGACCACACTCTCCATGACTCCCTTGTCCGCTCCACACAGTCCCCTCCAGCCTCACCACACCTAGCACTTTTTTTTTTTGTTTCCCTGCAACCACAGGAAGTGCTACACCTCACCCTCATCCCAGGCCCAAGAAGACTTCCCACATCAAGCAGACGTTCACCTGCACATCTGCTAATGTGGTATACTGTATCCGCTGTTCCTGTTGTGGCCTCCCCTACATCGGGGAAACCAAGCAGAGGCTTGGGGACCGCTTGGCAGAACACCTATGCTTGGTTCACAGTAAACAACTGCACCTCCCAGTCGCAAACCATTTCAACTTCCCCCCCCCCCCCTTTCCTCAGATGACATGCCCATCCTGGGCGTCCTGCAGTGCCACAATGATGCTACCTGAAGGTTGCAGGAATAGACCTCATTTCATTTGGAAACCCTGCAGCCCAATGTGGACTTCAAAATCTCCCCTCCCCCTACCGCATCCCAAAACCAGCCCAGCTCGTCCCCGCCTCCCTAACCTGTCCTTCCTCCCACCTCAAGCCCCACCCCCATCTCCTACCTACTAGCATCATCCCGCCCCCTTGACCTGTCCATCCTCCCCAGACTGACCTATCTCCTCCCTACCTACACTTACCTTTCCTGGCTCCACCCCCGCCTCTTTGACTTGTCGTCTGTCTCCTCTCCACCTATGTTCTCCTCTATCCATCCTCCACCCGCCTCCCCCTCTCTCCCTATTTTTTTCTGACAGACTTCATTGCTAGATTTAAGGATACTTGGGAATCCAGTCCTGAGGTGTTTTGCACCCGGTCCAAAGTCCCTGTAACACCCCCATTTTGCCCATTCCTAAACCTGGTAGGAAGGGCGAGTGGCATTTCGTCCAAGACCTATGTGCCATCAATCAGATTGTGGTGCCTGTCACCCCGGTGTTCCCTGACACCAATGTTATTTTGACCTCCTTATCTCCCCATTCGACTTGCTACACAGTAACTGACCTCAGCCTTTTTTCTATTCCTCTGCATGAGGATAGCCAAGACCTTTTTGCATTTACAGTGGCAGACAGTATACGTCGACCCGGCTGCCCCAAGGCTATACTGAGTCCGGCTGTCTATGCCGCCGCTGTCCGTGCAGACCTCAAACTCTCTCTGCCCTGTAACAGTACGGTCTTACAACATGCCAACGACTTATTAAACGCCTCTATTGACTATGTCAGCTGTGAAAAAGACTCAGTTTCTTTATTCTTTCACCTGGCGATTAAAGGGCACTGTGTCTCCGCCTCGAAATTGCAGCTGTGTCAGCCTTCTGTATGGTGCTTAGGCTTTATTTTGGAGAACGGCACACATTGATTGGGACCTGAACGGGTCGCAGCGGTGCTGAAAGCCCCCTTGCCCAGTACGCAGAAAGACATGTTATCTTTTTTGGTATGGTTAATTATTGCAGGCAATGGATACCTGAGTACCGACGCAAGATAATCCGCCGAAGGACGGCTCCATGCGAGGACATCCCACTGAAATCGAATGGACTGAAGAACGTCGCAGAGCCTTGGCCAAGCTTTAGACTGCACTGGGCATTGCAGATTACAACGAGGCTTTGCACTCTAGGTTAGTGAAAAGGAAGGGCTTGCAAGCGGCATACTTACTCCAAAAACATGGAGAACTCAAGCGGCTGGTAGCATATTATTCGGTTCAGCTGCCTCCCGTTGTTAGAGGAATGCCCGGTTGTCTGCGTACTGATGCTGCCACTGCTGTCATCTTAGAAAACTCAAATCCTATTGTGTTAGACCACAAATATGTCATGTTGCGCCCCCCATGCAGTCTTACTGCTGCTAAATTTGGCGGCGACTCAATTTTACTGCCACGCACCGCAGTGGGTACAAGGTCATGTTACTGTCTAAGCCAAATATCTCCTTCCGCCGAGCTCCCTCACTAAACCCCACCAGCCTTCTCCCTGATTAGTACTACGGTAGATGACATCGAATACGACTGCCTGCAGCTTGTCGACTCGGTCACATCTTCCCCGACCTGAATTACAGTCAACACCCCTTGCTAATCCCGATTTGGTGCTCTTCACTGATAGTTCCTCTTACCGGCCTTACGACACCGCCACTGGCAGGTTACGCTATTGTCACTCCCTTTGCCGTTCTGGAAGCGTTTGCTCTACCTCCTGGCACTTCTGCCCAATCCGCAGAACTGTTCGCCCTTACCCATGCTTGTACTCTCTCAGAGGGTCGCACTGCTAACATTTATACAGACTCGCGGTACGGTTTTGGGGTTGTTCATGATCTTGGCACCCTATGGCAGCACCATGTGTTCATCACCTCTTCTGGTAAGCCCAGTCAACACGCCACCTTAATTAGTAACTTGCTTCGCGCCATCCTTCTCCCCAGTGGATTGGCCGTAATTAGGTGTGATGCGCATACACCGTCTCAAGACGATATTTTGCTCGGGAATGCCGCTGCTGATAAAGCAGCCAAAGACACCGCCTTGTCCCGGGCAACCGTGGTGTCCTCTTTTGTCCGCCAATTGTTACCAAAGTCCTTTGACCTCACTCTTGCGGTACAGGCTCAACACGGGGCGCCCTCGCCCCCCCCCCCAAAAAAAAAAAAGGAAAAAGATCTTTGAGTTATGAAGGGCCGTGCCCAGGACCCCGACCACTTGTGGCGCCACCCTGATGGAAGGGTTGTTTGCCCAAAAGGTCTCCTCCATGCACCTGCTGGCCTGGTGCATAGGCAAAGGCATGTAGGATGTGGCATCAGGTCACACAACAATGGTTTGCACCCCGTATAACAACTGCTCTTCAACAAGTAATTGACACTTTGTACCATTTGCCAACAGTACAATAGGGAAAAAACACCAGCCAAGTTTGATCACTTCCCAGTACTGGCTGGACCCTTTGGACATTTACAAATAGACTTTGTGCATATGCCATAGTCTGGAGGTTTCAAACATACTAGTGATAGTGGATATGTTCTCCAAGTGGGTGGAAGCCTTTGCAACCAGAAAAAAATGATGCTAGAACAGTGATAAAGTGCCTGATGGAGGATCTCATCCCTATATTTAGAATACCCATTAAGGTGAACAGTGATAGAGGGGCACATTTTACAGGAAAAATAGTAACAGCCCTGACACAGGCCATGGGATTTGAGTGGAAGGTGCACATGCCTTACCAACCCCAATCCTCTGGAATAGTAGAATGAGTCAATGGTACCCTAAAAAATACCCTTGAAAAAGTCTGTCAGGAAACTGGTTTAAAATGGCCTGAAGCTCTGCCAATGACCCTTTACACCCTAAGGAATCAGGTAAATAGAACAACAGGCCTAGCCCTGTTTTGAGGTCTTAATGGGAAGACCCATGACCACTGGCACCAAGCCCCCAATGACAGGGGCTGATGTAGCATTAATTTGGGTCGATGAGAAAACCTTGCAGTATGCATAGGCCCTAAGTGAGGCGGCCCGGTCAAATCATGATAAAGTCTTTGCAGCAATACCAAAGCCCAAGCAGGGGAATACTCATCCATTTATACCTGGTGATTTTGTATATAGCAAAGCACCCAAAAAGAATTCTCCTCCTCCTAGGAGGAAAGGTCCCTATCAAGTGCTACTGGTCACCCGCACTGCCGTCAAAGTAGAACAACATCAGGACTAGATTCATGCTACTCGGTGCAAGCTGCCGAAGAAAGATAAGGTCACTCTGGAAGACTAAAGACCTAAAAAGATGCAGTGGCTTCTAATGAATCTGGTCTGTCTCCTGGGCAGTCAAGTTAGATCCGATATGCTGGCACCAGTTAGAGTCCACTTACCCTCCAGCCCATAACTCCTTTTTAGCCCTTAGTTACGAAAATGCAATACAGCTAAACATCTCCCCATGCTGGGTGTGTATGCATATTCCAATTCACTCAAAAGGAGGAATTACCCTTACAACTGATCCCCTTTAATGTCTCCGAAGTGGCAGAATAGGTCATTTGACAGAATGAATCCCTAAGGGCTGGTGTTCGCATGGCTGCTACATCTTCTGCAGAGAGGGGGATTATATTGGGTGGACATTACAGGCACCCAAGATAAGTGGGAATCAGCAGGGTACAACCTTTCAATATTCAAAGGTCGGTATCAACCTCAACTTAATACCGCCCATATCCCACTATATGTTGCTATCACTAATACATTAACAGTAGGAAAACTTGTAAATTCCATTTGCCTCACTAGATATAACATTGAGGGTTGGTTTATGGGGCAGAGTAATTGCACTCACTATTATAATGTTACGCCCCCGATCCAAGCAAAGTTTCTGCTGATGTGAGGTTAATAAACTTTTGACCATGTTTTGTTTCCTGATTATATAACTCGGTTTATCCCTTTATAATAGTACCTATTTTGTTGTGGCCTCAGGCCTACGCTTGGCTGCCTCCCTCATGGACCAGATCTTGCTATTTGGCCAACATCATTCCTCTCATGCGTCATCTCCCCACTCTAGACAAGCACCCCTCATTGACCAGACGTAACAAGCATGCTATCACTGAAACCGAGCGGTTCTTTATGATTGCCTTCCCTATTTATGCGTCCGGGAAAGCAGCACGTGAATTAATTAAAATGGCATCTCCTTTAGAGAAACTGGCCAACGAGACTGCCTTTGCTTTTGAGGCAACTTACCAAGCCATTTCCTGCTTATCTGCCAAACTTGCAATCTGCACTGTAGCCTTACAGAATCGCCTGGCCCTTGATTTTATTCTGGCCAAGAAAAGCAGTACATGTGCCATCATTGGCCAAGAGTGCTGCACCTATATCTCGGATGAATCTGAAAACATCACTCGTATGGCTGATCATATCCAACAAGCGGTCAACCAGATCAAAGCTGTTGGTGAGCAATTTCATAACTATAATCCTCCTAGCTCTGGTTGGTGGCCATTAGGGAATTGGTGGAGTACTCTAACTCATTATGGTATCATCCTGGTTATTACTATTATACGGCTACACATGATTTGTTGCATCCTCCACCGTGGACCTCAGAACCCTGTCCCTTTATTGCCCCCCACTGTAACCAGCAATCCTGACTATGACAAACAGGAATGCCTCAAAATGAGACCCTTTCCCATGGGTATGATCCCCCATTCAATAACTGTGACTGTTGATGTTGATCCAAGGATCAAAAAGGAGGGAATTGTGGAAGAATAATTAAAGTGTCAAGAGCAATTAGATGTAGAATGTAGCTAAAGCTTAGAATTAGAAGTTGGAATGATGGGAAAATAGGTCAAGTAAGAGATATGCGACAAACTGTTGCATATCTGTAGAAAGTTTATAACCTGCTGTTCGATATTGAACCAAAGCTTAAGACACATTCTGCTTAAAGATAACATTTCAGCAACTACAAGTTGTGGAACCATTATGTATGACATGTCATATGACCTGCCTTAAGGGGATGTGATAGACTGTACAAGCTCATCTACTTGTAACAACTGTGTCAATCTATAATGGCGCATATAAGTATTACCTTGTTTTTGTACTCATTGGAGACTATGGACCTGACCTTTTGTCAGCGTTGGCTCCCCATGATATCGAATAAAGCCTCTTTAAAGCTCCAGTGCGTGACTAATTAATATCCTCAACAAACACTGATAAGATATTTTAATGGATATAGGAAGAGTTCAAAGAAACAGAATTGTTGCCAGTGACAGGAAAACTTGTTTATTAATTTCAGAAGAAATGTTCTTATTTCCTGTAATATCCAAGAGAGGCAAGAATTGCATCAGGTCCAAAACATGATCTGCTTTGTTCACATGTTCTCTCCATTTGTATCTAGATTGAGTCACTGTAATCTAGGAGAAACAAGAATAATAAAATTGCTTAAAGCTCTGAAGAAACATCACTGTCAAATGGAGGATCTGAGGTAGTGCCAGGCAAGGGGCTGAATCTACCCATATTCTGGCAAGTGCCATTTTCGTCAGCTTTCCCAGAGGATTTCTCCCTGTGATGCCAAGTGAGATTTTTTTCACACTATCGTCCAACACTTGCCTCATGAATTCCATAGCCCACCCCTCTCATCTGATGCTAGTCTAATTCTTCCCACTTCTATCTCAGCCAATCCCTTGACTTCTCTGATTCCTGGAGAAAACAACCTACAATAGGACACAAAGAACAGAGCTATCTCATGTCCTGGATTTGATTCATGACATTCTGTCAGCAGAACGTCTTGGCGCTGTTTGCCTGGGCATCTCACTGACCAACCCAAACTTCTGGACTGCTACTGGAGGTTGTTCTTCACTTATGCCAGGAACCCTGACTGTAGGGTGTTTCCTATGACTTGACTGAGGACAATTACTTTGAGACATGGTCATTTGGTTGAAGCATTTGGAGTGTTTTTGCCAAGGAGGCTGCTGGTACACATTGATGGAGCATAGTACAATCCAGAGACATGACCACCCATTTTGCTGATGACATGCCTGACAGGCATGACAAACATCCAGGCCTTGTGTCAAAAGCAAACTGCAAGGCAAGGTGTCCCAGTAGGTTCAACTGAGTGAGTGTGAAGAGAGAAAGCAAGCAGCCCTGAGAGAAAGCCTTGTCCACTTGGTGAGCTGGATTCCCAACCCTGCAGAGTAGTATGTGCATTTGATTAAGGCAAGACTGGGTAGTACTGATGATGACAATGAGCAGTAATCCTTTGTTAATCATCCTCTTGCTGCTCAATCGTGAGAATCTCATTGTTACACTCACACCTCCAACAGCACCTGAGAAGCTTGACACCATCCAGGACAAAGCAACCCACTTGATTGGCACTACATCCACAAGCATCCAATCCCTCTACCGCCAAAGCTCGGTAGCAGCAGTGTGTACTGTCTACAAGATACACTGCAGAAATTCACCAAAGATCCTCAGACAGCACCTGCCAAACTGACAATCACTTTCATCTTGAAGGACGTAGGCAGCAGCTACGTCGGATCCACCACCACCTGCAAGATCTACTCCAAGGCACTCACCATCTTGGCTTTCAAATATCTCATCATTCCTCCACTGTCACTGTCTCCAAATCCTGGAATTCCCTCCCTAACAACATTGTGGGTCAACCTACAGCACGTGGACTACAGAGGTTGAAGAAGACAGCTCAGCACCACCTTCTCAAAGGCATCTAGGGGTGGGCAATAAATGCTGGCCCAGCCAGCGACACCAATGTCCTATGAATAATGAATGAAAAAAGCGCATTTGGAAAATGTGACTTGTTGCTTTCAATGTCCGGGAAGATAATGTTCTAGTTCCGCTGGATTCTCCCAGATTTCTCCATATCGTTCATGTCATTCAGGGCCTGGGAACATTTCACCCAATGTTGTCTTCAGTTTACTGTGATAGAATATCCCTTATTTTACATTTGTATCAGTGTCAGTAATATTGTCATTAATACACCTTGATTCTTGGTCGCTCTTTCCATCTTTGCCAGGCTACATACTGTCGGCTTCTCCGATCCTCGTGCTGAGGAACTCTCCCGCACTCTCAGTACAAGCCTGTTGCTGAAGGAGTTGACCCTCCCATTAAACATCATAACCGATAATTCTGTCCCCTCTTTGCTCCAACTAATGCAGAACTGCAGGGGTCTGCATCGTATTGAGTGACTGTTTACAAGCCTCTTTAGCCTCAGAAATAGAAGATGGATTGTGTTCAATACTCTTCTGCACATGTTACTGAATACTGACCTCATGTATCAGCGATCCTGACCTTTCTAGAAGGAAGTGGTCATGGGTTTGGAAGTTGCTGGGTGAGGATCTTTGGTGAATTTCTGCAGTGCATCTTACAGATAGCACACACTGCTGCTACTGAGCCTCAGTGGTGAAGGAAGTGGATCTATGTGAAAGTAATGACAAACAAGCAGGCTGCTTTGTCCTGGATGGTATCAAGTTTCTTGAGTGTTTTTGGAGCTGCACCCATCCAGGCAAGTAGGAATATTGCATCATACTCATTGATTTGTACCTTGTAAATGGTGGACAGGGTTTGGGGAGTCAGGAGGGAGCCTCTGACCTGCTCTTGTAGCCATTATGTTCATGTGGTGAGTCCGGTTGAGTTTGTGGTCAATGATAACTCTCAGATGTTGATAGTGGGGAATTCAGTGATGGTAACACCATTGAATGTCAAGGGGTGGTTAGATTATCTCTTGTAGGTGATGGTCATACGTATCTACGGGAGTAAGTCGCAAAACTCTGCGTGGAGCTAATTTCTACCGATTGACACCATTGCCCTATGTGTTTGTTAGATCACAGTGATGTGAATGATCAGTGACCTTCTCACTGTCTTGCATTAATTATTGAAGTATTTGCAGAATTCTTTTCTTTTAAAGAAGAGAATATTCCATCAGTGATAGCCATAGTGACTGAAAATGGCAGAATAGAAGCAATTGCGAAACCCAAACATGAAAACAAAATCTTCTGATCACACATTTTTTTCAAAAGATTTTCACATTTCTTTCTCAGTCACACCATGTGCTGATCCTCCTCCAGTGATTCTAAACAGACAGTAAGCCAGTGACACTGACAGAAACATGGTTGAGGGAAGAACTGGACTGGAAACTCGACATTCTTGGGTAGAGGGTCTTTAGGTATGACAGAGAGTGTAAAAAGGGTGTAGCACTCTTAATTAGGGTGTCAATAACTGCAATAAAGAGAGATGATATCTTGGAAGGATCCTTAAACAAGGCTCTGTGGGTAGAACTTAGCAATGTTAAGGGGGCAGCCACTTTACAGGGAGTGTATTATAGGCCCCCAAAGAGTCAGCAGGAAATAGAGTAGCAAATAGGTAGCCAGTTCACAGGTGAGTAAGAGTGATAAGTGGGTAATTATACTAGGGGATTTCAAATTTCCCAAAGTTAAATTGGGACAGGCACTGTGTTAAGTGTTTAGAGGGGACTGATTTTTTTGAAATGCATCCAGGGAAATTTTTTTGGATCAATATGTAGAAGCTCCAACAAGGAATGGTACAATGCTGGATCTGGTTCTGGGGAAAGAAGCCAGACAATTTATCAATGGAGCCATAGGGGAGCATTTTAGCTTTAGCAATAGCAATCACAACATGGTATAGTACATAACAAATTTGTACAAGGTAAAAAATGGCCTGATAAAGACAACTTCGTACTGAGGGATGGCAGATTTTATCCAATTATATCTGGGAAAAGATGAGTGGGCACAGCTCTTTGCAGGTATGTCTACAGCAGAGCAGTGGGGGGGGGGTGTGTGTTCAAAATTGAGCTAAGGTGAGTGTCCAACATGTACCCTTTAGGGTAAAATGTAGTAGCAACAAGTTCAGAGAACCTTGGATGTCTAAGACAATTCAGGATTGTATAAAGAGGAAAAATAGAGATTAGAGCAAGTCCAAAGTGAGCAACTCAGCATTATGGCCCAGCAGGAATATCGGAAATGCAAGACGGAACTTAAGGAAGCAATTAGAAGAGGAGAAAAAAGAGGACATGAGAAAGCACTTGCAAACAGGATTATGGGACATCCTAAGATATTTTATAAACATATTAAAGGGAAGCAGTTAACCAGGGAAAGAGTAGGGTCCATTAGGGACCAAGGGAGCAACCTATGTGGGACGCCGTAGGATATTGGAAAGTTGTCAAATGAATAGTTGTTTTTTGGTCTTCAGTCAGAAAAAGGAGAATGTTGGTGTAGAATTCAGGAAAAGGGACTGTGATGAACTTGCACAGTTTGATATAGGAAATGGGATTTTTTGGAGGCTCTGTCAGGCTTAAAAACACACAATTCCCTTTGTCCAGACGATTTGCATCCAAGGTTGCTGTGGGACGCTGGGAAGGATATTGCAAAGGCTTTGACATGAATATTTAAATTCCTCTCCCATGGCCAGAGAAGTGCCATTGGACTGGAGGACGGCTACTAATGGTCCACTTTCTCAGAAGTGTCATAGAGATGAACCAGGAAATTACACCCCGGTGACTCTCAAGTCAATGGTAGGGAAAAGTTTGGATAAAATTCTGTAAGAGTGAATTAGTATCCACTTGGAAAATCATGGGTTAATTAGGGATAGTTAGGATTGATTTGTAAGAGGGAGGTCATGCTTAACAAATTTGTTAGAATTTTGTGAACTTGCGATCAAATATGTAGATGAGGAAAGTTCAGTTGATGGAGTTAATATGGATTTTAGCAAAGCCTTTGACAAGGTCACGTATGGGAGGCTGATTCAGAAGATTAATGCTCACAGAATTGAGGGAAACTGGGCAAGATGGATCAAAAATTCGCTTAGTAATAGTAAATAAAGAGCAGTCGTAGAAAGCTGTTTGAGTGACTGGAAGCTGGTGACCAGCGGTGTGCCACAAGGATCAATACTGGGGCCCTTTATTGTTTGCTTTATACACAAATGATATTGATGAAAATGTGGGGGTAGTGTTGAACAAATTTGAAAACTGAAACAGGATTGGAATAGTGATTAATCCTATCAGTTATTGTCTTATGAACCCTTTGCAATTCATGTTTTACAACAACCAAATCCATGGGTACATCAGAGATCTGCATCCTCTCACCATGTAGGCATGGAAGATAAGAATATATAAGACATTAGAGTATAGGAACTAGGAGCAGGAACAGACGATTCAGCAGCCCCAGGCCTAATCTGTCACTTGATCCAATCATGGCTGATCTCATGTCTGCTCCAACTCCACTTTCCTTGACACTCTCCATAACCCTTCAACCCATTACTCATAATGTGCTTCTTTTCATTCTTCTGTCCAAAATAGACACTTGCACACCTCCCCAGATTGAAATCCATTAGCTCAATATTTTCTCACTTCCTTAATTACACTTTATTGCCCTTTGAGGCGACCTTCTATCTATTTCATAACGTATTTTTCAAGATATGTTTGTGTCATGAGCAAATCTAGCAACTTCTGCCTTATCATCCATACCTAATACACAACTTGGAAATGGTTGAGGTCCCAGATTTTCTCCCTGTAGATTTACTAACCCAAATAACACCCATGAGTGCCCACTCTCAGTTTCATTTGAGATAGTGAATTGTCTATCCACAACGATATATGACACCACTGCCTTGCATACACCCCTTACTGTCACTTACACGCACACAAAGATAGCGACCATGAAGGAGGATCACAATCTACCATCAATCTTGAGTCACACTCAAGAGTTAGACAGAGATAGAGG